TTTCATTTTTGTTAATAAAACCTTTATGATTATTTTTATTAAAAACCGGAATTATTATGGGATTCTGAAATTAAAAATTACTACTTAATGGGAAGTTTGACACCGGAAATTAAATTTTACCATTACATTTTTAGAAATAAATATACCGGGTGTTTCTGAAAAGTGGTTTACTTCTATAACTTTTAATTTTTTAGATAAAAAACGAGATTTGGTATATTAGTATGGGACATAAATCAGGATTGATCGACGTTTTCATTTATTTTCGGTCACTACCTATTTCACCGGAAATGACAACAACTTTTGATTTAAATGGTACCCTCGGTTTTTTTACCGTATATGATATAAAATGACATTCTAAATAGAATGATATATTATATGTCAACTTTTGACATTTTCAATTTAAAAATGGCCATAAATAAACGTAACGACAATTTTACTCCAAATACCAAGTATGTGGTACCAAATTATTCGTATAAAATGCTTTTTCCAAATATGCTGGGCCAGCCTCGTACCATTTGAAAAATTTGAGTTATCATTAAAAATACGATTTGGGCATCTTTTAAGCGGTCATGAAAGGATACGAAAAAAAAATACACGATCAAATATATGTTTCCAAAGTTCTTTGATTACAAATTAATAGTTTTAACTCAGTCTTGGCACTCTAGATTGAAATTTAAAATACTATTTTTATTTAATTGGAATCGTCTAAAATTGACGTATGGTATGTCATTCTATTCAGAATGTCATTTTCTATCAAATAAAGTAAAAAGTACTTAGGATACAATCTAAAAATACAAAGTTGTCGTCATTTCCGGTGAAACAGGAAGAGACCGAAGGTAATTGAATACGTCAATCAATCCCGATTTATGTAATATACTAACAAACCAAATTTCATTGTATTATCTGAAAAAATAAAAAAGTGAGCCCCTTTTTAGAAACACCTGGTAGAATCGGCTGAAAATGAATACAGGTCTTAAAAATACACTATAACGAATAATCTACCAAAAGACCCCTGTGACCCTCCGCCTGCTAAATATTGATTCTTCAACGACAAAAGTTCTTAAACTGTTTACCTGTTAATTTATTGAATAAAATGCTTGCACTCGAAATCCGCGCACTCGAAAAAACAGTGACTACCTAAACGCATCCTAGATCTATAGAGCAAACTGGTTGTCGCATTCTTCCCCGCACCTCAGTCCTCGGAACCGATGCGATGGGCTGTGCGGTCGTTTACGACCTGCTGCTACGAGTATATAGTGTGAATTATATATGTTCGCGAACGTTTTGTTCGAGTAGCTTGGACGCGGCTTAGTAGATACGAACATGGTTAAATTGGGACAAAGTGGCGCTTTGGGATGTTCACCAAGGTGCCATCAAAGTTTTAAAAATTTCAAGGATTGCTGAGTTTTTTGAAAAAAATGGATTTTTTTGAAAATCAATTTAATTTTTTCCTGTCGTTACTTTTTTTTTAGAACATCAAAAAACTAATTGCATATTCTCATAGCCACTTCATTAGAGCTATCCGAAGGTATTTTCAGATTTTCTGATTTAACCATTATTTCTTATTCATGATCATGTTTTTGTCAATTTTACACATGAATTATTTTTTATCTCGGAAACTAACAGGTTAATGTGGACATTACCCGGTTAATCTCGAGAATAACACACAAATCATAACCAAACCCAAACATTAACCTGTTAATGTCGACATTAGGGAGTTTTCGTTGCTTTAAAAAAATTCAACGGTACGGTTAACGGATACGTAACCATAACCGCTATTTTGACAGATAAAAAACAGTTTTCGGACTTTCGGTTCAACGGTTCGGAGCCGACATACGATACGATAACCAAAAACTGACAGCTGAGCACAGCCCGTAGCGTAGTGTTTTGATTTTTGGTTTTTGTATTGTTGTTTGATTTGAAAGTGCTTTATATGACTTTATTGGGTATCACTATATAGGATGGACAATTTAATTTTATTGGACTTAAGTGATGAATCGGATTTGGAGGATGCTATGTTGTTGGAAGGGTTTGAAAACAACATCGAATATCGAGCAGAACTTTATGGGGAGTTCAACCTAGAAATATTATCTGACCAAGAGTGCAAAGCTAACTTCCGCTTTGAAAAAAAAGACATTCCTCGATTAGTTGAAGTACTAAGAATTCCCAACGAGTTTAACACAGATAAAATAAATAATCAAAACATATACAAAATAGAATGAGGTTAGGTTATGTTATCGACGCCTATGATCCTTATGATAGGCAGTCATTTTCACGCCGTGCCTGCACCCCGTGTCCACTGATGTTGGCGAGTAGCGGAGTAGTAGGCTTTGGAAACAGTTGAATGTCAGGCTAGCGGTTACGATATACGATAATCGAAATTGAAATGTCAAAGTTGTCAATTAGCGTTAACCGGAATTGCAATTTGTAAGCAACGAAAACTCCCTATTAACCGGACCTCGGACTTTAACCGTAACATATACATATTTTAAATAAAAGGAGAGGAAAGTTGATTTACAAATATTTGAAACTATGCAATACGCCTATTAGATTTTTAATATTGGCTTATCAAATAATGCTGTATATATCCTTATATCCATATTATTTTTTGTAAGTTGACTTTAATGGTTCTGTGTGTGTTGTACGTAAAATGACAATCTTGTTGTAAAGCTGAATGGTCCCGCCGTCAGTTCAAGCAAAATGATCGTTTTTTTGTCTATTCAGACCGGACCACCGTAGTAGTAACATAGGCAGAACCGGACGAAATAGCGTATACCCGTCCGCCGGATAAAAAGCAGGCGAAAAAATGCGATAAAATAAAAATAGGTCGATATGTTGTGATAAGAATGTTTCAGAATTTGTATTTATTCGTGTTTTAATAGCCAAAACGAATACGTAGATTCTCGCGACAGTTCTCGTGTAAAATTTATTTTTTAAGTAAAATAATGGATGATTATGAAGTTCGTGAGAAAATTCAAATCGTAAAATGGTATTTCCAAAATAGGTCTTATCGGCATATACAAACAATTTTTCCACAAACTTTTGTAAACAGGCTAATTCCATCTTTATCTACTATATCAAGAGTTATTAATAATTTTGAAACACATGGGTGCGTGTCCCCACAAAAACACAAAAATCCTGATGTGTTGATTAATGAAGAACAGGAGTTAAAGCAAGTGTTCGTTTGTGCTACCGCGGATCAAAATCCCACGTTTTCAAGTAATCAAATTGCTGAGGTGGTTGCCCTGCACAATGCCCGTATTGTTCAAGGATATTTGAACAATACTTTTCCCAACCGTTTAATTAGTGGACATGGAACTATTTTGTGGCCCGCTAGATCACCAGATTATGTCTCTGTAAGAAGCGAAATTTAACTGATGATTAAAGATAGATTTAATTTGAAATCGGGTAGTGTGGGGAGGCAGTGTCCAAATTCGTTGGCCCGATATTTGCCCATCAAGTTGGTCGTGTGTAGGTCCCGCTTTAAACGGCTACACATTATACGATTTATCGTATTACAAGCTGTACAACACCAAATCGTTCCGACAGTTGGATCAATCATTAAATACACTAACTATAGTGGCATTGTAGTACATTGGAAACATTTGCTGAAACAATCAAACCTGTCGTGATGAACATCTGCTTCAAACTGCACCCAAGGAAACTGTACACCCGGCGATCACCGGGAAACACAGTACAAACCAGGGAAAATAGTATGAAATAAAATTGACTATATTTTAGTCAGCAAGAGGTACAGAAATGGGTGTACAGCAGTCAAAACGTATCCGGGTGCAGACATTCGATCAGACCACGCCTCTGTAGTTAGAAAATTCAAAATCAAGATGAAATGAGTTGCAACCAAGAAAGTGAAGAGAATGACCTAAGAAAACTAAAAGACCCAGGCATCAAACAAACAGTGAAAACACCCTTAACGAGAAACTCAAGAACAATGAAGATACCAAAAAAAACGGAAAGCGTGGCTGACCAACGAAATTCTAGAGCTCATGGAGGAAAGCAAAAGAAATAAAACCATCCCAAGTGCGCATATATATATATATATATATATATATATATATATATACAAGAAAATCCGTTGTATAATCAGAAGGAAGATCAGAGAAGCCAAGGAGAAAGGGAAAGACGAGTAATATCAAGAGATTGAGTTTTTCCAAAGTCGTAGAAGTAGCAGGAAAATACAGGAACAACAACAGCGGCAAAATGGTAGACCAAGAAGGCAACAATCAATAGTGATCAACAAAGAGGAGAAGAAGAAGGTATGAGAGCAGTAGCTGAAAGAACTTTTCCATAACCTCAGAGAATCACAAGAACATGTTATTTAGGAAAGACAGGACCTGAAACAATGCCAGAAGAGATAGAGGCAGCCTTGAAACAAATGAAGGAGGGAAAGGCACCGAGGCGTAGATGAAGTTTCAACTGAACTATTCAAACTCCTTGATTGTGAACAAATTGGAACTCTAAGAGGAACAGGAATCTTCAACTCAATATATGATTCAGGGAAAATCCCAGTGGAGTAGTTGAAATCAGAGTTCATAACAAACCCAAAGAAGCCAGATGCTGATTATCAAACAAAAAGTCTTATGAGCCACTTGCTAAAACTGTTCCTAAAAGTCATTCATAGAAGAATATACCGAATATGTTTGTGAAGAACAAATTGCACCCAATCATTTTGAGTTTGTAAAGGCCCTTGGCACAAGAGAAGTATTATTCAGTGTGCCAGTCCTGTTCCAAAAATGCAGAGATGTGAGCTGTAACGTTTTTGCTTGTCTAATAGACTAGTAAGACATAGTAATAGATAGTAAAGTCTAGTAAGACATAGTAAATCATAGCAAATCTGTATTGGAACCAATCGGCAGTTCTTAGAGTGGATGGGGAGCATACAGGATAAGCGGACAACTTGCGTGGTGTCAGGCAGGGGTGCATAATCTCACCAATGATATTCAACCTGTACTCTGAACAAATCTTTAAGAAGGCACTTTAAGACATAGACGAAGGCATTTCGATCAATGGAGCCCCACTCAACAACCTGCGCTACGCTGACGATACAATAGTATTTGCCGATACCATCCAAGGCCTGCAAAATCTGATGAACAGTTTAACAGAAAGTAGTAGGAAGTATAGACTCGACATAAATACAAGTAAGACGAAATTTATGATTATCAGCAAGGACAAGATCACGGGAGTTAACTTGTACGTAAACCAAGCGGGAATTGAGCGAGCCTCACAATACACTTTCCTATGCACTGTGATCAATTTAATCGTGGGACAAGTCGCAAGAAATCAAATGCAGAATTGGAAAAGCCAAAAGCGCATTCTTAACCATGAGCGCAGTCTTTAAAAGCCACGACCTGGAAATGGAAATAAAGAATAGATTCCTAAAATGGCATTTTAGGTTATGGTATTAGGTCTATTAGGTTCTCCTGTATGGCGTAGAGACTTGAACCCTAAAGGAGAACACTATATCAAAACTCCAAGCCTTTGAGCTGTGGCTGTACAGGAGAATCCTGAGAATACGGTGGACGGACAATGTCACAAACATAGAGGTCCTAACACAGTACAGTTCATAAAAATGGAAAATGAAACATTTTCATCACAATTTATAGAAATATATCGTTCCCATACATGTTTGCGGGATGTAAACAGTAAAAAATAACGAATACATAAACATAAAAGAAGTACAAGTTATGAGAATCTATTGGAAAAATTATAAAAGAACTAAAAACAGATGCTACTTCTAAATATTTAATTACAATTTTTGGGAAGGTTCTTCATCTTTGTCTAAAAAACGACCACAATTGTAGCTAGCTTGTAGCTTTTCCTTTTTGACAAAAACAAAGCCATGGCGAAACAAACAACTAACTAACCTAACCTAACCAACTAGTAATTCAAGTTTGTGGACCACAGGGCTTTCGACCTGTCGTTGAAACGGTCAAATCAAATTTGTGTTGTACAACATGCAGTAGGTTAAATCATATAAAGTGGGGTCCGTTTTAGATTTTTTGGATTGTTTATTTAAAATGCCAGCTGTACATTTGAATTATTTTGTATAACTGAATTAAATTGCCGGTAATACTTTCTGTTATCTACGCATCTATTTATTTCAAGTAAATTTTAGTTATTTTCAAGTCGCAACGATTTGTTGGATATAGTCCAGTTACGTAGTTAATTTAATCGGATTTTCCAGGATTCTGAAAATCTAATAATTTAGATGTGCAAGCAACATGGTATAGTTTTAATCTTAACTATCTCTCAATTTTATATAAATCGGTTAAAACCATTATTTTTCTAAACCAGCAATAAAAAATAGTATTTAGAATAAAAGTAAAGAATTTGTTATAAGTTATTGATAGTGAGTTTCCTACGTTTCCTCGGCTAACTTTTTTACATCACGACTTGTTTTTATTAAACAAGGAAACACGAAATAACTCTCCTCTCAAAAGAAGCCCAAGTTCCTTGTAATAAATCGGTTCCATTTTCGTAACGCCATCTCTCGACATTTACAGGTTAGCTAAAGGGGTGCGGGGCCGGGGGGGAATTGTAAAATACACTTTTTTATTTTAATTATTTTTATTCGCGATTTGCAATTTTATTTTTAAAACATATTATCTGAAACAATCACATAATATGTCTTAAAAATAAAATTACAAAAGGAATTAAATAATCTGAAAATCTACAAAGTTTTTTGATAAAAAAGTTAGGCTATGCAAATTGATATATTAAGTATAACCTCTTTGGTATAACATTGTTAAACAAACATTAACAAACCATAACATATCAGATCATAGAACTAAAAAAAGTACTATTACGTAAAAACAGGTGATACAATACTTCAAAATTAATTTTAACATAATATCAAACCGAAAAATCAAACTGCAAGCACAACCACATTTATCACAACAGAAATTAACACACACTTCCGCGGCAAATGTCCAAGAAAGACTGATCATTCTGATTGGTCCTGGTCCGGTCGTAGCTCACGTCGTATTGTCGGTAAGCAAAATCCCTGTCCAAAAATCTTTACGATCAGCGCCATCACCCACATAGTTGGGAAACTTTTGCTGGAACCATTTTGAATATTTCACTTACATGCCCTGCAAGTAACATTGGTTTAGAGTGGCTAAATGAGAGCGACTGTGAAGGAGCAGATGATTTTACTGAAAATCACAGGGATTTGTTGCTACCGACAGTCACTCTTGTCTTGACAACGTGCAGCTAGTGTCAGTTCCCATTTAAGTATTATTTACTGTTATTAGTGTGATTTTAGATGACGATCTAAATAATCTCGAATACTCGTGTTCACTAGTTGTAATAAAAGTAATAAAGCAGTGGGGGGAAGTGGAGTCAAAACATCCTCAAAAACGTTTTTAAATCACTAGTTATATAAAATTCGTTTACTAAATAATAGAATAATAATAGATCATTATTATATTTTTCCAGACTGCGAATCTTTAATAAGAAAAATGTTGGTTCTCGAACCCAATAAAAGGTATACTATTCAACAAATCAAGAAGCATCGATGGATACAAATGGACGTTTTGCCATCATTTCCACCAATCATTAACAGTTCTTGTACACAAGCCAACGAACAAATCTTTAGACTGATGCAAAGTTTAGGAATTGACAGCTCAAAAACTCGAGAGGTAAGACATACTCCTTCTTTTATCTAGTAGTCATATTTTTAATGAAATTTATTGAATCAATTCATAGATTTAAAGAAAAATTATATTTAGTTGTACATAATGTGACTTAAAAGTGATGCAGAGTATGAATAATTTCCTCATTTATCGAGGTGACATCAGTAAATTCATATTTGTACCACTTTGTACGTTCTGGTAACTTATTTGTACAATAATAAATGTCAGAAAGTAGTTTTCATAGCCTAATTATATGTGAGTGTTTAGTTAGACATTGCGCTTACATGGTTTCTGATCAAATTAAAAAGAAGGAATCCTAAAAAAATGTTTAACTAAGTTACTGCTATAACGAGACTTATTTTAAAAGAAAATCTAATCGTAGATTGAGCAAATAGAGAGAAAATTAACTTTTCTTCAATCTGTTAATTTATTCAAAATATTTAACTAAATATACGAGCACTAGGTAAATTGATTGATTGAGACATGGACTAACATCAGTTATTTTTTCTTCTGCCACAAGAATCGGTTGTTGTTGGTTAAATATGATAAAAAATAATAATTTAGATGATAGAAAATTGATAAACTTACTTAACATTAAAAAGGAAACAACTTTAAAATTTTCTTTCTCTATAAAAGTGTCTTCTTTCTCCGTAAAATTGTGTCACCAAATAATCACTTTTGCTTATCTGTGTCAAATCAGTGGTCATAATCAGAACCAAATCAGAACTATACAAATATATTAAGCACATTGGACTGTATATTTTGACTATAAATAACCGTTCTAGATGTTAAACTGTATGTAGTTTATCATCCATTAATGAAAAAAATATATATTTTTCTTTTATGAACAAGAAAGAAATAGTGAGGGAAATGTATAAAAAAGAAGAAAAATATTAAACGGCTCAGCCCTCAACAACTGGCAACCGTATACACGTTCTTGGCTGCAAATTGGGGCTTTAGGCTCCCGTTTGCTCCTTTTTATTTTCCATCATTTATTTTCGTTTCTTCATCAATTTTTTTTCCATCTCCTGGGTTGCACACGGTGCCTCGTTTGCTTCCTGGTTTTTTGTGTTTTGGGATCGGTTTCATCGCTTCCTGGTTCCTTACCGTACTGATGAAGCCTGAAGGCAGTAACATCAGTGTACACTAGTGCAGGTGTGTGGTTGTGTGAGTGTGTGAGTGTGCGTGTCTGCACTGGTGTACACTGGTGTATACGGTTGCGAGTTGTTGAGGGCTGAGCCGTTTAATATTTTTCTTCTTATTTTTCTTTTATATAGATTTATAATCAAACATTCTTGAATACTAAAATTAGGTTATTATCATATTAAAACGTGTTATGCCATTATTATTGAAGTGAACTAACTAATTCTGCAACTTTATCAATCAGCTAGCGTGTACCAGCAACTTCGTTCGCGTCGAATTAATCATTTGTAATGGTGATGATAAAGCAAAGCAAGAATTTCCATTAACATACAAACTGGATAAAATTTTCTCACATTTATGTTAGCATGATAAAAAACAATATGGCGATATTATTATATAACTTGGTAATATTTGAGGGGTAGTTTCATCTCGTTGGAATTTGACTTTCGAAAAATCCGTTTGCCAAAAATAAGCTTTTTTCGTCAAGCAGTTTAAGCAGAATCGTGGTTAAGAAATTACCCAACTTCTCAAAATTTTAGCAAAATTTTTTTTTTGAAAATTTTCAAAGTAAAATAACTCCGTTATTTTTGACTTATTTGAAAAACGATAAAGAGAAAATATGTTTCTTTTCTGAAGATCTACCACCCCTTAAAATACTTGCACTTATTTCTGGAACACCCTGTATAGTAATCTATTACTAGCATATACTAATTTCTAAGTCTGTACTACTACCTAAGATGGTCAGGTCACAATAAGAATTGACCTCAAATCTAAGGACACGATAGAGAAAGAGGGATATATCCTCTATTATACAGGGTGAGTTTCCTACGATGTTCTCTATGGGTATCTCGGAAACTACTAGAGATAGAGAGGCGGTTAAATGGGGAAAGAATTGCAGTTTCGTGGGTTCTCTTAGTCCTAACTTAGACTCTCTATCTTCAGTAGTTTCCAAGGCACCCATACTCACCCTGTACATAAGAAGAGACCAAGTTCAGAGGTAGAGAAAATGGCGACAGATCCTCCATCCTCCAGCTCACCAGTACCTCAGCTATGATTCCAAATTATGAAGATATTACGTTTTTACCTGAAAGTTAAAAAAGTCCAATTTTTTTTTCGAAAAATATAAAATTTTCCATTTTTTTCGCGAAAAACCCTCAGAAATGATTCTGGGATAGAAATATACCAGCCCTAAAAATATAAGTGGATATAGTATAGTACTGTATAGTATTATGGTATGCGCAAGAAATGCTTGCATGAAATGAGATTTGTCGATGACTTATTATTAATTAACTAATCAGTTAATTATCCAAGTTTATTTAATTAATTTTAATTATATAATAAAATTAGCAGAGAGTCTATAAATCTAAATAATTATTATGAATCTAATTAACTTTAATTAATTAGTTTATCTGTTGAATAATTAACTATAATTATATAGTTAATTAATTAATTTTAATTATTTAGTTAATTAATTATCTAGTTGGTTATACAAATTAAGTAGTTGGATTTATAATTACTTTAATTAATTACTTATTTAATAAATGATAAACTTTTATTAATTGTTTAAATAGTAAAAGCAATTTGATTAATTAAGTAAGCAGTTGAATAAGAAACTTTATTTAATTAATGAATTGCCTTTAATTAATTGTTAAAAAAATTATTTGAAATGATTTTCTTAATTAATTAATTAGTTTTTTTTCTCTAGTCTATCAGGACAGGTTGTTACGATCATCATGCCGCCATCTATTTTCTGCTGCTCGATAAACTCAGGACTCAGCTGGTGGGAGGAGAAAATCAAACTGGAGTGAGGGAAGTACAAAGGAGGAGGCCGTCAAATGTGGCAGAGCAGGCCATGAGAAAAATAGGTATCCACCAAGGTTAATTGAAATTTAATAATAAAGTAATTTAGATTAATGTTAACAGTACTTCTTATTTTCTGCTCTTCATTCCGCTAAGGAGCGACCAGCAATGATTCTAATAGTTGGCAATACTGTGTTGGAATACTATTTTACACGCACACATTCTTATTTGTGAAATCTACATATGTTTCAGTGTAAAAAAGGTACTATTTTTCCACAGAACTAACAACGGATAATAACTCGAATCGGAACTAACAATAATCATAAGTACTATTTTTCAATACAACAATAGTGTTCAACATTGAAAAGAAGTATAGTGATATAAACATAGACTTAAAATAAAATATAGACTGAGCATCTCATTCATAAATAGCTGGAACATGCGGTCAGACACTGTCTTGTTATTGTTGTGTTATTGTTTTAGGTTATAACGAGTGCGACACGAGCGATAGATAGGTTGTCTCTGTCGTAACGGTCGTTCCCTGACGACTCTGCCGAGAAACACAACACTGTCTTTCGTTTCTCAAGTACACCTGAACTCTCCGTATCATAGCCGGGTAATTTTTTATTTTAATGAAGCTATAATTAAATTAAAAATATATCGTATTTAAACTTTTTTATATTTTATTAAGATTTAGGACAGGTTTTTTAAATAAAAACTTTAGAAAAAACAATTTAGAGTCCAAAAGGATAAAAATAATAAAATACACGTTATAGAAGAAATTTTATAATCGAAATTAGGAATTTTTGAAATTAATAATAAATTATTAATTTTAGTCAAACATTTACAACCCCTTAATATTAATCAAAACAGGATCTATTCCACAGATATAATAGAATCGGCGACAGGGAGAGAAAAAAAAATGATTGTTGTAAATTTTTTTCTGGTTAAGTGATGTCTTATTATGTAAATTAGAGAAAACATAAATCTGTTCCATTAAAGCAAGGAAGGTGATAGGAAGTGGATAAAATAAAGACTACATTTATTTAACTCGGTACTGTATTATACCGGGTGCGTCTCAAAAGTGGCTCATCCCCATAATGTTTCTATATTTTTCAAATAAAAAAAAGCAAGATTTAGTATGTTAGTATATGAAATAAATTAGGATTGATTGACGCATTCAATTGTTTTTGGTCACTTCCCTGTTTCACCGGAAATGACTATAACTTTTAATTTTAAACGGCACCCTCGGTATATTTCTACTTTATTCGATAGAAAATGACACTCTGAATAGAATGACATATCATATGTCAACTTTTGACATTTTCGCATATGGTTTAATTGTAATTGTAACACGCGGTTCATAACGACAATTTGACTCGAAATACCAAGTGTGTGGTATCAATATATTCATAAAAAAATGCTTTTTCCAAATATGCTAATGAGTCACCCTTGTTCCATTTGAAAAAATTGACATATGTATGATTAAAAATACGATTTGTACATCTTTTAACCGGCCTAGACAAGACACGAAACCTATTAGACGATCAATAAGCGACAATGTCAAAAGTTTGCATATGATATGTCATTCTATTCAGAGTGTCATTTTTTATCGAATAAAGTAGCAATATACAGAGGGTGCCTTTAAAAATCAAAAGATGTAATAATTTCGGTGAAACAGGAAGAGACCAAAAACAATTGAATACGTCAATAAATCCTAATTTATGTCATATACCTACTAACATACAAATCTGTTTTTTTATCTGAAAAAATATAAAAAAGTTATAGGGTTGGGCCACTTTGAGACGACCCGGTATATTAAAAAAATAATGTTTCATAATGTAATATCATTTTAAAATTCTTGTATGTTATTTTAGATTCTGAAGATAATTTTAGAATAAACCGAATATATTTTTTTTAATAAAAACATTAATTATTAACAGGGTTATAATTATGATTTTGTTACAATGTAAGTAAGTAAATAATGTAATGTAAAAGAAAAAAATTCAGATTTTACATTTTACTAAAATATTATCTAAATAAGCGCCTTCTACCAACAACGCCACTGACTGCCAATGGGTAAATTGAGAGTTGCCTACCGGTCAAAATTCGTTTCAAGACTTAAATGGATTATTTCAGTCAAATTTCTTGCAAATTTGGCACTGGCGAACCATATTTTATAGTTTTTGAACAGAAAAAAGTCAATAAAATAAACACTTAAGGACTATAAGCTAAGAAAATGCGTTAATACAGCCGGGGGAGATAGCGGCAACAAAGTTTTACCGCACACGTGCGACACGTACTACAAGGTAATAAATGAATGAATAGGCTTCCTCGCCTCTAATCGGTGTTGTCATATTGTAAAGAACTTATCCTTATTAAACAGTATCCGACTTATAATTTAGTAGTATAAGGACTATTTAATACATCTATGGAATATTAAAACCTACTTTTTATTAAACTGTAGTATTAATATCTCAATATATGTGTATAACAAGAAAAAAAATATTGATAATATTAAAGACGTGACAACATAGGCTGGATGAGGAAGGCTCGGTCGACTGTACCCAGAAGTAAACATGTGTACAAAAAAGGTTGTTTGTCCGCGTTGAGATGTAAATAGTGTAGTCTATATTTTATTTTAAGTCTATGGATATAAAGTACGTCTACTGGATATAAAATATGTCTACTGGATGTACGTCTACTAATGTGTTTTGTAGTAAATTGATCATACTCCAATATTGTGTCTGCAATCTTGAAATTCCTTTCATAGACCTGCGTCAAAGAAATTTCAAAACATATTTAAATAAAAAAAAGTTGATTTTAAAGTTCGCTACCTATACCGGGTGCGTCTCAAAAGTGGCTCACTCCTACTCTTTTTTATTTTTTCAGATAAAACAACGAGATTTGGTATGTTCGTATATAACATAAATTAGGATTGATTGACATATTCAATTGTTTTCGGTCACTTCCGGTCATCACCTTGCAAATTTGTCGAATTTTAATTGACGGGAGGCATCGTATGTTTTTTTACCAGAAAGATCGATTAAACCGATAATAGACTGAGAAAAAGAACAGTGCAGTCGTTATCGGTAAAATAATTTCGTGATTTTATTAACTTATATTTTTTTAAAAACATTTTTTAATTTTTATAAAGAAAATGTCTCATTCACGTGGAAAAATGTTGAAAAAAAAAAGATTTTTTTGTATAAGCAAGTAGTATTATTTAAAATATTTATATGGATGCCCTGTAGCTACAAAACGAATTGAAGTACACGGCTTATTTTCATCCTAGCAATCGACGAAATAACTTTTAATCAATACAGAATGGCAATTATGAGCACCGCTTAGTTAATTATTAAATATCAGAAATATACAGGGTGGTCCGAACTGTACTCCGGAAACTTTGGCAACATATTCTACAGATAAAAAAGGTAAAAAAGTTCGTATAAATGTATGTCCTTAAAATGCTTAGTTTTGGATATACAGGGTGTAGAAGTTTCATTTGTATTTCGATTTTTTTTCGAAGTAATTCGTGAAGTTACGTCAATATTTAGATGAAATTGGTGTCTGAGTGTTTTTTGACAAGAGAAATTTAATTTTGATGTCAATTTTTTTTACTACAGTGCCGGACTTAGGCCTAGGCCAAACTAGGCCCGGGCCTGGGACAGCAGATTTTTAGGGGCGGCAAATTTTGAGCATACCAAAATATTTATCTTTTTTTTTAACTTTTATTTGTTCATAAAATATTTCGAATATTGCCTTAGCCGATTACATATTTATTTACTTAACTATTATTATTGTTTAAATATATAATTCGCTTGGGTTATTTTTTACTGCATTGTGCCATGCATCCGAGGGGTAAACCGCAGAGGAATTATGGTGTACACTATGAAGGAATTCTACAGGAATTCCAAGGAATTACGAGGAATTCCAAGGAATTCCATAGGAATTACTAGGAATTCCAATTATTTCCGTAAGAATTCCAATGAATTCCAAGGAATTCCTTAGAAATTTAGAGGAATTCCACAGGAATTAAGAGGAATTACAAGCAACTTTATAAAAAATTAACGAACATTAGTAAACCATGAATACTATAATAGGTAGTACTAAATTTAAAAAAAAACGTTTTGCAGGCGATTTTTTACTATCCGTTTTTTCGTTCTCGCCTAAAATTTCCCAATATCAAATATCTACAGGTTAGATATTCTTTTAATTTAATATTGTACCCTCGATTATATATCTAAAATATTTTCCAATAGTACGGCCGAATCACCCCCGAGAGATTTACTTATAACGTTCCCTGATTTCGCCATTTTAAAGAAACCCTCATAAGATTTTTTTATTCAGTACTCAGAGAGTGTAAAGTTGATTTTTTCATTTCCTCGGAATAATACCTAGGTATATACTATAGGGAAATTAATACAACTTTAGGTGCACTTCATCAATGATACCATGCGTAATCTTATGGAATTTACTGGTGATCGTATTATGACGTGCAACTGAAGTTTTATTAATTTCCTTTTCTATAGATACGAGTATAACTAGGTACCTACCATTTTCAAAAAATCCCGAGAAAAATTAATTTTAATAAGGAAGTGCCGACATATTTCCAGTATTTTTACCTCATGATCCCCTATTAGTCTTAACATTTAACTAAAAAACGTAAATCTCGTAATAGTACTTTTTATTGTTAGATCTAGTACTTATAGAGACATTAGACATTTATAAAAAAATTACCAGAAAATTCATAGCGTAACTGGTGAAACCGAGGTGGCAACGCTGGTTCAGACTGAAAAGAGTTACCGAGTTCGTACCAAGGAATTCCAAGGAAGACCTTGAATGATTGATCTTGACCTTGAAGACCAGGAATTCCAAGGAATTCCGAAGGAATTACGAGGAATTCTGAGGAATTATTTGAGTAAAAGGAATTACGGTGTACACTTTTCCCTCTGCGGTTTACCCCTCGCATGCATCCAATTAATAAATACATAAATACTTCGAATATAAAAAAATAAATTCAAAAACATTAAAAAATTTATCAAAAACACGTTGGTCTGCACGAAATGAAGCTAGCCAATCACTATCTTTGTCTTCCAATGAAATAAAATCCACGTTTGAGTCAATTTCTGCAGACGATACCGAAAAGCCTAAAACCCAATTTTATGCTTCTAGTCTCCTTAAACAATTCAAAAGCCTAGAAATGGGTTTTATGGTGGTATTTTGGAAAGACGTTTTAAATAGATTAGATGCGGTCAATAAAAAGCTCCAAATGGTGGATATTGATCTACAACTTGCTGCAGATTTATATAGCTCATTGGAAAAATATTTTTCTGAAATTAGAAATCTAGAAAATACTAAATCATTTGAGGAATATGAAAGTAGGGCCATAGAATTGTTCGGTGAGAAAGAATATGCGGCAGATAAAAAGAGAAAAGTGAATCGGAAACGACAATTTGCTGAAACCAGTGATAATGAAACTCTATTTAATGCTAGGGACGATTTTAGGATAAATGTGTTTAATGTTATTATTGATAAATTAATCCTTGAAATTTCCTACAGGAAAAGTGCCTACAATGACTTTTCAACCAAATTTGGTTTCTCTTTAGAGATTTATCTACTTTAAGTGTTAACGACATTACCGATAAGTCCAGACATCTAATAACCTGTTATCCAAATGATTTAGATCAGTCAATGCCTAATGAATTAATACATTTTCGTGAATTTATAAAATGCATTAAGTCCGCGAAACCATCTGCTAGAGAGCTTCTTAAAGTAATTTATGAAAAAAAAAAACGCTCAAGACCTGTTTCCAAATACTTTCATAGCATTAAGAATCTTCACATGTACTTTTGTTACTAACTGTTCTGCTGAACGCTCGTTTTTCGCCTTGAAACGTATTAAAACTTATTTACGGTCCACTATGGAAACAGAACGTCTAAATCATTTGGCAGTTTTACATATTGAGTCCGACCTTTTAAAAACTATCAATTACGATGAAGTAATTGATAATTTGGCGAACAAAAAAGTACGTAGGAATCCTTTATAGGCATATAAGCAAACCTTATAGTTTTGTTGTTCTTTTGTTGTCATTTTATATGAATATTTTAATATTTATTTTATATTCTGTGTTGATCTGTTCTGTCGGTCTATTCTGTTGTTGGTCCTGTGCTTGTATTCAAATAAATGTTTTTATATCTGCAATTTTTTTAATTAAAAAAATGTTAAGGGGCGGCAATTTTTTTTGGCTTGCGGCGGAGTCCGGCCCTGAATAACTATCTAATCAACATGTTTAATTTAGGTCAATGATGACAGGATACGTTGTCTTGTCTGCTTGGTCTGGACTCGGCAACAAGCAAAATCAGAATAACCAACTATTTCAATCATGACTGATCGCTCCGTACTTTCTTCATTGCTTCTTCTAGCTATTCTTCGTTTATTGTTTCCAAAAACTAAAGCAATTTTAGCAGTTCGGTGTTCTCTTCCAGGCAAACGCAGATTACTAATTTATATTGATGTAAACAGGGAGAGCAAGCACCACCGAAGACTGCAGACGCCTTCTGCAGCATTCTTCTCTCGGCCCCACAGCGACCAGCAACAACAAGATTAACGTGTCCAATGTTATCGGCTCATGTGCGAATCCAACATCTAATACTTCACCAGTGCACGGAATCGATGCTGCAAAATTGCTGGCAGCCACCAACAGCGAGGACGCTTTGAAAATACTGAACCAAGCGGCTTCGACCACTACCTTTAGCATGTGCAACGAGGCTACAAGATTGATGTCCACGCTTCAGATGTCAGCGGTACCGTCCAGCTCGACGGAAACGTCTCCTTTTAAAGAGTACTCTAAAGCGGTACCCAGTGCGTATCCATTGGTACTGAATATGCATCCTTTCGAAACACCTGACGTCAAAGGAAGTTTGGACAGGTTTAATGCAAGGTAGACTAACATACTATAAACATAACTAACAAAATCGAATTCTAAAGCTTTATTCAGAACCTTGAATTTGGTAAAATAAGTTAGTGAATTTAAATATTATACTTTATGCTTAAATTATTGTAAAAAAATCATTTAAAATTATAGAATATTCTAGCAACGTAGTCAGTTATATACATAGAGAAAGCCTAATAATTAGCTCATTAAACAATAAAACAAATTATTTTTAACCAAAATTTCTCTTAACAAAAGATTTCTCAATGTCAAAATGACTTTACTTACACGCTTTCGATTATAATTAGTGGAAAAAATTGTTAACTTGTTCTACTAATTATTGAAAGGTACTATCACTAATTTTGATATTGAGAATACCTTACATTGAAATTACTGAAACAAACCTCTAGCATACTATAAGGAAACTAGTAGCTTTACTCCTTGTCAAATCCTTTGTTCTATTTCTGCCACTTTATATGACCTTGTTCTCGACTCCCGTGACATAGTCGTGGTTTATTAACTAGGCAAAGTATAGTCGTGGCACTCGCCATAGTTTCACAGATATGTATTTAGGAAAATATGAGTTCACAATAAAATAAAATAAAAAAATTGATCATCGAGTAAAAAACTTGCTTGAAAACAGAATATTTTCACATTTCGTGTAGGTAACAATTCTTCTGTATCTGAAAATCTTCTGATGGGAAGAAATGCGGAAAAAATATATAATGACATATTTTTATATTATTATCTATTTCAGAGATTTTCTACAACTTTTTTTTTGATTTAATAAAGTTTAATTTTCTGTAGATAACTGGATTCGGCATAAAATTGTCAACACTGTCTTTATTAAAAGCACACTGCGGTGTTGCCTTTCTATTTCTTATTTACTAACACTTTGGTTAAAAACATTATATACCAAAAGTGGTAAAAAACTAGACTGAATATAACATTATTAATACTTAGAATTCGTGTAGAAAAATTTACTTTATCGTATACAGGGTATTTTTTATGGCGTCAGCAAAACCGTAATATTTAAAATGTATCTCATTTTTTTAAATGCAACACCTTGTATATTATTTTTCTTTCAGATGTAGAATTAAAGGGTGAACATTTTTTGTATTTAAAGTGTTCTTATAAACAAATATAATTAAATGCTTATTGATAATTACTATCAGCTTGCCAATTTACATCCGATGGAAATCTAAAAAAACTCAAAGAACAATTGTTTGAATTATTACTACAATTAATTAAAGCAGCACACAGTAAGGCACTCATTTTTGTCAATCCGTCTCTCTGCTGGGACGCAACGCTCGAACCTCCCAGCTCGACGGACGGAATTCAACTGAAACGCTTTGCAATCTGCCGATATTCGGCAGATTGTTCGAAGTGACCGCTATGAACGAAAATTTTTGTAATTATTCAGTTAACTTTTTTTTATTATTGTAGGGATACACTAACGTCTAGTATTAATAATTAATGTCTCACCGTTACTGTTGAAAATACGTTTGGTTTGTTATGTTATGTTATATTTTATACGTTTTCACTTTTGTTTTGTTCCTGTTTTGTTCGTATGTTCTAATTACATTCAATTTCTTTACTTTAACATAATTATTTTCTTTTAAAAAACACAAACGATATTGTCGATTCTGCCAAAAATTGTAAAAGTAAAAAATACGGATTAGCAAGAAAACCGTTGAAAATGGGTATAGGGAAAGTTATAGCAAATGGATGCAGAATTGAATTCTGCATCCAACTATCGAAAAATATACAGGGTGTCTCATTTGAAAAAATGAACTATTTTGAGTTGGAAAATAATCTAATCAGTTATCAAATTTTGGACACCCTGTATGCAATAAATTAATTGTCAATATGGATTTTGAAAGTATTAGTCCTCTGCTTCGGTTTACCGCAGAAGCGTTTATCACCGATTCAAAATGAGTAAAAGACCGCCTGTTAAAAATAGGGGTAAATCTGTAAACATTTTCAAATAAATCAAGATATCTGATAAACAGTTGAAAATAGGTATAGGGAAACCTAATGAAACTCATCATAAAATTTTCTGAGAAATCCAAAAATTAAATAATATACAGGGTGTTCCATTTGAAATAAGGAAGTTAATGGCGACTTCCGGTGTAACCGGAAGTGGTGTGACCTTGAAAATATTTTTAAATGAAAGAAAAGGTTAAATAACCCTAAGTCTCAAAATTTCAAACTTCTAAGTTTATTCTAACATCAGAAACTTCTAACGAACGGCTACGGTGAGAAACCCTGTATAGTATTAGCATTCATATAACAATATAACTCAACTGATATATTACATATATGCAGATTTAAAAAATCTGGATAATTCTTATTTGAGATTGAGATATTTAAAGCTAATAGCACAGAATATCTAGCTACGCAACAGAAAAATACTCGAAATGAAAGAGCTAAAATTGCAAAAATAAAATACTTGATGGCGCGACAATATCATAATCAGAATATAATTGGAAATTTTCAACTTTCGGTTTTGTATCGACGTAGATCGACGGCACTTCGACGGCCTTGAAGCTTTCAGACTTTAATTGGCATCCCATTCTTTTTCTGGCGTATAATAATTTCTTTCTATTCTTCGTTTCTTGTCAGATACACTTATATTAATTATTCGTGTGGCTTTTAAAATTATAATAAATTAATAAAAATAAAAAAATAAATTAGAAAACATATGCTCTCAAAATACATTTTTAATATACACTACTTTATTATGTTAACTAAGAAAATAACTTTAATTACCTTTAGAACCGCCCCACAGTGGCCCCAGACTAAGCTACGCTTCCTCCAGCTCATCTAGTGGCGTAGTAAACAATTTTAACGCATCCAAAAGTCTTAGCCAGAACCTCAGTTGTGATAGTAACTTCGAAAGTCTTGAATACCCCCTCTCCGAGTCCAGCGAGCTAGCCAGTAGTTTGCCAAGTTGTACATCGACCGATAAAAAACCTGAATCTAGCCTGATCACCTCAAACGCACTATCCAGCTTCAAATACCACAATATGGTTCCTAGAATGGCCGCTCACAAGCAGAATCCTTTGATTCACATGTCCCGTTTTAAAACGACCAGAAACCTCACCCGATCACCTGTTGATTTCCGCGAAGGTAGAAGGGCTAGCGACGGTTTGGTAGCTCAACAAGTAGGAGAGGGTCCTGTTTCGAACATAGCTTTCAATTCGCAAAAACTCAACGAAAGCTTCAAGGCTAAAGGCGTGCTAGACATGGGCTTAGTCCAGCGCGAGGCGCTCAGGTTGCAAAGTCAGTATCAAGCGAGGGAACCGCCCGAGGAAATGTCGCACAGGCAAAAACAGCATAATCAGTACATGCAGCCCAGAGCGACTAAAAAGATTAGCCTGCCCGATAACTTTAGTTACTCGAGCATTGAGCCGGTCCAATTGCAAACGGCGATGCAACACCGATTGCTTCAACAGAAACGTTTGCAGAAACAGTGCGCCATATCTCACCAGGTTGCGAGTAGCATCGATGCAGCTACGCATTTGTCGCGAAGGCACATGCTGAGGCAGGCTAGTTATAAGATAGCTCAGCAGCAGCCAGTGTTGCCGCCTCTCCCTCCCTTGCCCTTGTCGGAAACGGAGAGTAAAGACTTACTTGCATTTCAATCCATTGTAGAGAATCCTGGAGAGGCGTGGAACGCTGGAGTGAGCGGCAACGTACAGTCGATGGTGGAGCCCAATCTCTCGTCCAAATCGTGGCAGAAAACTAATTCGACGTGGAACCAGGTACTTCAGCGATTGTAGTGCGCACTATGCTGCATTTTCAGTTCTATCCATGCTTAGTTTTATAAGCATATATTTATTGCTTTTTAGATATATAAGCTTTCCGACAAAAAAATTGGTCTATTCCTTACTGCTTAGTGGATGGAAACTTTTTTAAATTCCTAGATACAAATAACTGCAAAATATCCAATATACTGTTTATGTTTTTGAATAAAAATATTACGGAAGGAGTATAATGATATCCATGTATTCATGCATGAGAGACGGAATCATGAGCCCTTATGCTTAACAGTTCTATTTGACCTTTCAGTTGGCACATTTGTATTTGATCTTAAATTTTGCTTATTTTGTGGTATTTATTCTACGATTAGTTTTAATCTAGAAGAATATTTTGTCAGAACTTTAATTAACATATTTATTCTTATTAAACATATATTTTTAACAATTTGAATAAGTAATGGCATTTATTTACAACGTAAAATAAAACCAACAAATTATTTAGTCTACCCTACATTATATTTTTACATGTTTTTATAGATCTCACTCCACCTAATTTTTGTTATATACTCCTTCCAATCTTTTTATCCATAGATTTATATAGATGTTCCATCATTGTTTCCCCAGAGTATAAAATACTAGATTATAACAATCAAAAAATAGACCAAGCGTTTTTGCTGTTGAATGTAGTTAATAGAGTGCTTTTCAAAATAAAACGAAATCAAAATAATTAGATAGTGGATTTTATTTAAAGTGACCAGAGAGTTTCAAGATTTGGTCAATTTAGAAGTGTGATTTGGAGTTTAACGTGTAAGACAGAGAATAATATATATAGCTGCCGGTTGACAGGCAGAGAGACAAAATCAAAAGCGGCATACAGTGTTGTCGATTTTTACGTTTGTAGGAAAATTTGTGTAGCAAAAAAAACTATTTTAAAGACTTTCATGTATACTACTGAAATGAAGATAATATAGTAAAAGCTAAGTAAAATGAGTAACTGTGAAAAATAAGGTTCCAACCCTAGATGCAACATTTTCCATAAACGCCTAACTTGTGCGGTTTGAACTTTTGATGCAAAATCCGGCAATACCGCATAGAAGAAATGTATCGACCCCACTTTTATCTCTTTATCAGCTATATCATTATACTCTGTATCTAAGGCACATTTGATTTTCCATTAAGCTGTCTACACCCATATAACACAACACAATCCTATAGATATCATGAGGATATCCACCTAGGATATAGTAAATATCTTAGATATATCCACATAACAGAGGAGGATATTTATAGGATATCCAAGTCGGACAAAAAAAGTCATCTTCAAGACATCCTAGGCAAGCCTTTTACGATTATTTGGGATATTTATAGGATAATATAGAGATGATGTTGGGAGTATTATAGAATATTTTTAGGGCATTATAATAGGACTGTTATATGACAATACTTACTGCATTCTTAGTTTGTAGTAAAAACGTTCGCAATTTTTTTATTCAAGTTTTATTCAGCCACATTTTGACGTTATTCATTGGATATATTTATTAACCGCTGTAAAATACCTACATATTATGTCATTGAATTTTGCGTCAAAGAGCTTTCAAGTTATACCGTATGATTGAAAAAAAGGCGTCCAGTTAGCTTGGAAATTACGGTCGATGCCATTCCTCATATAATTTTACATACAAAATATAACAGCGATCTTCATTTCCAAAAGCCACCTCTGACGCCGTTTTTTTCGACCCTTTATGAATCTAGCAGCAACAATTTATATCGAAGTTAGCACAAAGGTATAATTTCTAACACCACAAATACAAATTCCAAAAACTCACCATTCAAACACAAAAATCGGATTTCTGTTCGAATAGATCAAACACGAAAGTGGGTTCAGGAATAAAGAATAAGCGCTTTTCACCTATAATTTTGTTACAAATTTTTCATTGCGAGGCCCTGAGTCGTTTTTCGACATTAGTTGAGGTTAGGACAGAATTTCTGCTATAACAAGGCTAGAAGTATGAGTATAAAAAAACTAAGTCAAACTCAACCAGTTTTGTTCGTTTCAGTGATTTTTAAGCCCATTTAACATCGACAAACAACAGAATTCACCATTCACCTCGAATTTCACTAAATCAAAACGCTAAATACACAATGGTCGCGTTCATCAGGACGTAGCGCTACCGCAGCGATCACTAATTTTCTGCTGAACGCGCCGATTAGTTGTGAGCGCTCTGGGATCAGTCGCCATTTTTTCCATCAGATTTAAAATACGCTACGCTACTGATGCATGATGGATTAAACGTCACATACGCCAAATGTCACAAAATGTTTTGGAAAACGAAAACAAAGCATTTTGTTGATTGTTCTCGGTTGACTAATCCCCTCGATTTGTGCCAAAAATGGGTGAAAACAATTTAATATGCATTACTTATGATTTTGATCTAAAAAGCACGTTCAGCAGGACAACCAATCGATGGTACATCGCTCACTGATCAACGTGTCCTGATGAACGCGACCAATGCAAAATGCAAAAACAAACAACTGTCAAGATGGATTGTGGGAAATAATTTGCGCGGGCGTTTTAAATTCTATATATTACTGGAAGTGGCCAAGCTCATGAATATCCAGATTATCCAGTAGACCATATCAACAAGATCTTGCTGTCTTGACATAATATATATGTATTTGTATGGTTTATTGCATTTTATGTAACATAAAAAGTAGTAAATTATTTATTTAAAATAGATTTTATTTTAGATATAAATATCTAGATGATATTGTTAGGATATTTTATTATCTTGAGCATAATTGGATATCTCAGCTGGATGTACATAAGATATATGACAGAGATATCCATAGGTTATTCTATTCTAAGACATCTACAGGATTTCAGGATGTCTAGAGGATATCCTATAGATGTTTTTTATAGGATGATCTTGTAGTGGGAATGTAGTGGGTGTATGAATATCCTGCGGATATTGTGTGTTATATGGGCATCACTTTCTTACACGTTAAAATCCAGACCACACTTCTAAAATGAACAAATCGGTATAATTTTTACATGAAACAAGTGAATCTTTTTTTAAACATAGTTTATCTCTTACTTTTTTAATTAATTTTTTGCTGGACCCCACATACTGCATTTTATAATTACCATACTATATTTTTAAGGAAGGTAGAGATAGTTGTGTCTTTTCTGTACTCTTTGTACTGTAACAACTTATTGATCACTATAAATACGATTTCTGCATGAGCATTATTCCCCGGAAGATAATTTACAAAATTCAATAATGATTTGAATGTTAAAATAGGAAATATCTTTCAAAGAAAAATGCTGAAAAATCTCCGCCCATTTTATATCATCTATTTTAGTATCATCTTGTTTCTATAGTTTGATTTTCTCCCAGGTAACATAATTTTGAATTAATTGAATTTATTTGACGGACATTTGTAGAGACTTTGTGTCTGAATAATGGACTGTGCGTGATTATGACGGACATCTGGTCACTTTAGTTCTATTCATTTTCATACTTTTTAAAGGACTTGACATTTCTTACCGAATTCACTTGTGATGACATTAAGCTTTTCTACACCTTTTATAACTATTTTTTATTTTAATAAGGAATTTAGACATATTCTACCTCCTAGTTTTGAAAGGCTTTTCTATCTTGAAAATATGTGTCCTATAATTTTTCTCGATAAACATGTTTTATACAATACGTTTATTGTATATTTTTATATAAAATATGTATGTTTCAAATATATATTTTTTCTAATGTACATCTTTATGAAGCAGAATTAGTTTAGTAATGAAGTTTAAGATAAAAAAGCCTTCTCATTAGTGATTAGTTTTACACAAAAGTATTATTAATACTAGTCTTTTCTTAGTCACGTATGTTCCTAGTTATCAGATGTAAAAAGTAATATTTGTGTTAATCTAATGCCGCATTATATAGCTCAGCCATAGTGTAGATTTCTTATATGGTTGTTTAAAAAATTGATTCTTAAATATAATATACCATTATCATATCTAAAACATATCCATCAATATATTACATATCTATATCTATACAGGTCCGGTAATAGGATATCTAGGCATAGGAATTACATGCATTGGAATGAAACGCCTATAAAAAGTCTAAGCTTAAACAGAGATGGACAACAACTTCCCCGTTTCCACTTCCACTACGACTGTCGAGTTAGACAAACTCCAATAAGATAACAAATTTTGGAAATTCCGCCGCCTCCCATCCACCTGCCCTTTATCACCATTATTTTATTTCCCTTCCCGCGCCTCCGCAAAACGCCATCACCTCAGTCCACACAGAGTTGCCAGGTCTACCGGTTTCGTCTGTAAGCTACCGATCTACCGATTTAAATCTAACGATATGTTCAGCTGCGTCTTTAGTCTAATCTGACTTTATTATTGTTTATTAAATTTTATTTAGTAATCATAGGTCATCGTTCTGTCTAGTTGCAGAGTGACAAATATATTCCTACAAATCCTTATTACTCTTTATTAGGCGCGGTATTGGCGATATGCCCGAAGATGTTGATATCGTTTGAAAAGATTTTGTTTCATTCATTTACTAAAGTTAAACCCATATTTTCCCCCCAAAAAATATAAACAAAAAACAAAATCTAAGTTAAGAAACAAACTGAATACGAATAAATATTTTAGTGCTTTTCCTGTCAAAAAATATATTAATATGAGAAAAGAGTTGAGAGTTGCTACAGTTTCCCATTGAAATGAAATTAATTTTAGATATCACTGATCAAAATTTGTACAAAGGTAAAAAGTGACTGCTATCCCTACTTGTTATAGTTTTTATTAATATATTAATATTGTTTAATTCAATATATTTTTTTAATATTAAATAATATACCTCTACCTCAACACGGATTCATCCACTCCTGGATATAGGTTTCTCCTATCCTTTTCCATGACTCCCTATTTTGTGCTATATTTAACCACCGTTTACCTGCCACTTCCTTAATGTCACGCAGGGACGTGCCCCTGCCCACGCGAGCCTTATAGCTTATCTCCCAGGACCATACTGGGGAAATCACTGTCCCATCCCATTCTCATATCCAAACCTCAAAATTTTCTAATCAAAAGCGTGGCCTTGAAATTACCAAACCACTAAACCACGAAATGTCGAACCTTAAAACAAAACTACCCCAGGCGAGTAGAACGTATGATTCAGAATCTCGCACTGAATATAATATACCTACCTATTTCTAATTCTTGTTATATTTACTATATTTGTATTTTATTTGAGCGATCTAGTATTACGACACATAGGAATGCTATTTTGGACTTAAATATTATATTTTATTTTGTTTCTGTACTTTTGATTTTTGTTGAAGATCTACCGAGAATTTTGTTCTCGTATGGAATTATAATCTAATAAACCTGGCAACCCTCTTCGGCTACTCCTTTATAAAGTTTTTTCGGCCTTTTTCCCTTGTTGCCGCCGCCGACCGACCGGTCGGTTTCGGGGCGACTGCAAGGAAGGTCGTACAGTATTGCCATTTCATAGAATTGCACTTGCTATTTTAGAAATGATTTCAAACTTCTGCATGTTACTTTTTGTTTTAGAAAGAAGTTGTTATGTGCCTAGAGAAAACATTCTTAAAATTGTTTTGTACTTTATTTAATATTTCATTAAGTAGGCAAGATAATGGGATTAGAAGATTCGGGATTTAGGATAAGCCAACATAATTTTGATTTAACAGAATGGCAACACTGTCCTTCGTCTTTCTATTTTTTCCATTCTATTCTATTAGTAGCCGGTAGCCCCCACACAAGCGTCTTAAAGACCCGCCCCCTCATGCAGAAGCTCTCTCGTCGTATCACTTCTATGATCACTTCCCCTATACAATGGTAGGGAAAAGACACTTTATCCGTCTCTGTTGTACTGCAGTGTATTTTGCAGCCTTACCATCTTTTTTTATCGCATTGGAAAGCTCCTATTGCTAATGAAATTTTGCCACACGTGTATATAGAATATGGCACGGTATATTTAATCTACACTATGGCTATTTTAGCAGTTTAGCCATTTTAACCACAATATGTAACTTGCCCTGAAAAAATATAACATTATAAACAAATAACATTTTGTTTTTTTTTCGCTTGAGCATTTTGTGTTGTGTTATATTTGGCATGGTTTTTTGACTTCGTCGACATAAGAACTCAGTATTTCTTCAACAGGGACCCTCAAGCTTGCCGGCAAACCTACAGACAAACGCGTGGCCTCCCTTGTTACCCTTAAGGGAAAGTCCCATATTAGAATTAACAGAACAAATGGAATCCATATAAAGTTACTATTTTTAGGTATCAGTTTTTAACTGTCAATTGTTTTTTTTTTAATAAAACGGACTCTAAAGGCCTAGTCTACACATAAAATTTCACCTGTCAGTCTTACATGTTCAGTCAAGACGTATCAAGTAAAATCTTGTGTGTAACTGAGTTACAATCGTCTAAAAAACTGTCGTTTTGCCTACTCTAAAAAATATAAAAAGTAAATTTACAAGAAATAATATGGATATATTAGAGCATCTTTAATAAATGGCTTTTAAAAATCTAATGTTTTTATTTAGTTTGCATTATTAGTTTGAATTTCTTTTCAACTTCACTAAAGACAATGCAATGAAAAAAACCTTAGACGAAATTTTGTGTATGCTAGTTTTTAATCCATCTTCCCTGGCAGGTAAAGCATTATCTGTAGACGAAGCTTAACGTCTTAATTTGTATACAACTAGAGTTTGCCTGGAAATAGATAGCTAGATATGTAAGAAATAATTTAGTAAATAATAGTAAATTTGTTAGATACATTTTAAGGAGTGATTCATTGGTTTTAAAATACTCTGCCTTTCCATTATTAATAAAGGCCTCAAACGCACTGACGACGACCAGGTCGCAGCGACCAGCATTTGATTCAATGTTATTACTGGTCGCGGCTGCGTTTCCTAATAACATTGATCAAATGCTGCTAGCTGCGACCTGGTCGTCAGTGCGTTTGAGCCCTACGAACTTTAATATAAATAATTTCTTCTTCATTTAATTCTATAGAACAAATATGCCATCTACTCCAAGATTATCCAGCTCTTTAATGTTCCAGACAACTCAATCCATTTTCAAAATTTTTAAAAATAGTAGTTAAGTTCTAGGTATACAGGATGGTCCGAATTCAGACAACTTCCGCAGTATATTCAGTAAGTAAAAAAGTTCGTATGAATTTGTTCGCTTCGTTTAGAAGATACTGGGTGAAGCAATTTAATTTTTATTTCAATTTTTTTCAAATAATTTCCGAACTAACGTTATTTGGATAAAAATTAATGTATGGGTGTACCAATTATTTGGAAAAATTCGAAATAAAAATGAAAATTTCACACCCTGTAGTATCTCCGAAACGAAACATTTTATACGATGCGTACAAAGATTTATACAAACTGTTATACTTATTTTTATCTGCAGAATATGATGCGGAACTTTCCCGAATATAATTCGGACCACCCTGTATATAGGGTGTTTCAAAAAACATGTTCCATTTCTCGTAGGGAGATTCCTCACGTAAAAATAAGGTCATTATAGGTTATTATATATCATATCAACATAGGTCCGATTCTGCTTTGTAGCTACAAGGTGTTAAACTCTTATAATCTTTCGATTTATTATAATTTTTCTCCAAGTACTTTTAGTGAGTCGAATGCAATTTTGAGGGTAAAACTTACTATAAGTGCTACATATTTCAAAAAGTGTAGATAAATTCATCATGGACGTGCATATGAGTTATCAGTGGAAAAAAACATGTACGCCACTGACTTTTTTCTTTTGATATCAAAATTGTGTAGGCCGTTTAATGCCAATTAAAAGTTATCTCTCGATATTTTGTCGATTTCGGCCTCGTTGATAAGATAAACGCAATTTTACTAACCACAATTAATAAAATTAAAATAAAAATGAAATTAATAAATTGATTATTTTATCTAGGTTAGGTTAGGTTGCTGGGGTTTGGGATCATATTTGATCCCTCACTCGGAGGCCTTGGGCCCATTGCGATACCCCTGTATTTCTGTTTACATCGTATTAAGTTATTATTAAATATTATTACTATTAGTTCAACCTACAACAACTTCAAATAAAAAACTTATGTTATTTAAAATAATTATTACAAAAAACATAATTTTCAAAAGTTTTATTAACATCCGGTAAAACTATACAACTTTTTTTAATATTTTTTCAATGAGGAATCAATTAGTACTTACTTAAAACTTTCGCAATAACAAGAGGAAAAAAGTCATTGGCGTACATGTCTTTTTTAGAAAAATATTCCAGTAATAACCCATATGCACGTCCCTGGTGGCGATTTTACTAAATATATACTATTACAGCACAAGACACGCCCCCAAATACGTCATTGGAAAATATAATCTATCTCAGCACATTCCTCTAAAATCTAAACGTTTGCAGCACAACAATACGTCGTTGGAAAATTTAATTTTATGTTCATTTCACGTGTGTCAGGCTGTGTGGAGATGGTTGTGGGATGCAAAAAATCACATAGATATTAAAGAAAGAAAAAAAACTTATGATGGAATTCCGTTATATACTTTATGCACAAAGTGAAGAAGAAACAGAGGAATTATTTGGTACCTTATGTGAAAAATGCAAATACCCAAATTTTATCAACTATCTTAAAAATTTGTGGGAAAGAAGGAACGAGTGGTGTCACTTTTATAGAAAATCATTGTGTACTAAAGGACACAACACAAACAACTTTGTTGAAGCATCTACCAGAGTACTGAAAGATATTATACTGGAAAGATGTAAATCCTTTAATGCTGTGGTATTTTGTGGTTTATTAGTTTCTTCAGCTGAAGACAAAAATATGCATTATACTGTTCTAACAAATTCCGCCTTATGCAATTGCGCTAGTGGAACAGGAGGGGCCTTTTGCAAACATTTATGTGCCGTAGAAAATTCGTTTAGCATCAATATTTTATCGAGTCCCCAGTTAACGGAAAATGACCGACAAATAATTGTTTATCTAGCCACTGGTAAAAAAACTGTTCATTTGTTAAAAACATGATCGAAAATGACGATTCGGTTGCATTTGGGGAATGCAATACCACTTTAAACGCAAGTAATCAAACCCAATCGGATTCTATAACTGATGTTGAAAATATTGAAAGTAAACCTTGTAAGTTAATCTAAAAGTTATAATATTGTTACTTGCTTAATACTTTTTGTTTTAGGTAGCGAAGAACATAAAAATGTAGTGGAAAGTCTGAAAAGGGAGTTTAGCCGTATTGCAGATTTAGCAAAACATGAGAGTTGTAATACAGAGTTAATAAAAAAGTTTGTTGGAAGCCTAAGAGCAATTAACAGAGGTAGTCAGTTGGATTCATTCCTAGCTAGCAAGCAGCGTATCAAACGAAAAACAAAATTAATAAAAGTCCACCCTACAGCACGCAGTAGAGAAAGATACAAAATGCTAAAATGGGGGGACAGAGAATTCAAAGTGGGCGCCCTTCCAGAAAAAGAAAACACAACCTGTCCCTTAATATCATGTCTAATCTTCCTAATTCCAAAATTCATTAAATGTTGCTGTGTGTTGCTTTGTGCTGTTTTATTTTGCAGATATTAGATATAGCTCCAATTAAAAGAGTATCTATTAAAATTCAATTTATTCCATTTCAACCGATTTGTATGACTCAGCCACGTTGTTGTGCTGCAAACGTTTAGATTTTGGAGGAATGTGCTGAGCTAGATTATATTTTCCAATGACGTATTTGGGGGCGTGTCTTGTGCTGTAATAGTATATATTTAGTAAAATCGCTCCCTGGTGAATATGTCGACACCTTTTAAGCATTAAGATATGTCGTATTTATAATAACTTTTACCCTCAAAATTTCATCAGAATCGCTTAAAGTACTTGGAAGAAAATTATAATAAATTGAAAAAATATTAAGACTTAACACCCTGTAGCTACGAAACAAAGCAGAATTGGACCTATGTTGATATGAAAAATAAATCTTATTTTTACGTGAGGAATAATGGCACATGTTTTTTTTGAAACACCCTGTATATCTCTTTAGTAGAGGTCTAAGTTATCTTAAATAACTAATTTAGAGTTATTACTACCCATTCTATAGTCATTATAGCATTAAAAATACACTGCCATCAATATAATAAATTTATAATTAAGAAACATAAGATAAAATAATAAAATCATTCTCATTTTTAACTCAAAAAGAATCTATTGAGTTAGTTCTAAGTTCTATTAAATAATATAGATATTAAAAATCATCGAAACAGGAAATATGTAACTGAGTACTAAAAGGTATTTTGTAAAATTTAAACTAAAAAAATTGTATTTACTAATGCTGTAGCTAGATTGGTGTAGTAGTAAAGTGATGTCAATATCACGTTACAGTGATAAAAATAATTTTAATCGTCAATTTTTAACTATGACAGTGCAGTACTAAGTAAAAAACGAATAATATACATATTTTTAACAAAACTAATCACTAAAATAGAATCATTCTCATTCAGACATTCCAAGACGGATTTAAAACTAACAATAATATCCTAGCTGTATAGATATAATGTAGGCAGAAATACATAAGTAGAAAATATAAGAAAATTGCAGTAACCCTGTGTAAAAGTATATGAATATGAATACGAAATATCAACGTTTAAAATTAAAAACGAAGTATCAATTGAAGTATTCTAGTCAATTTCATGATTGATCGATTCAATAAAATTTTTAAATTCAAAATTTTAAGTATACCGGGTTTGTCTCAAAAGTGGCCCACCCCTCTATAACTGTTTTATATTTTCAGATAGAAAAACGAGATATGACATAAATTACGATTAATTGACGAATTCGATTGTTTTTGGTCACTTCCTGTTTCACCGGAAATGACTACAACTCCCCTCGCTATATTTTTATTGTGCATACGTGCATATGGGCATATATTGTGGTATCCCTCAGGGTTCAGTACTTGGCCCTATTTTATTTCTGGTGTTTATCAACGACATTGCAAATCTGACATTAGCGGTAAAATCTGCCTCTTTGCGGACGATACTAGTTTCACTTGGAGCGGCCCAGATGTTACGGCACTATATGATACTATATCCAGTGACTTACGCACCATTAAATCTTGGTGCGATTCTAATCTCCTATGCCTCAACCTTTCAAAAACTAAAGTTTTGTCATATAAAAGTACTATACAACCTTTTGTACTTAATAACACCACTATTGACGTCGTGGACTCTGTGAGATTCTTAGGACTTGTTGTGGACAACTCTTTAAAATGGGACTTGCACATCGAAGCCTTATCAAAGAAACTAAGCTCTGCCTGTTTTGCACTAAGATCAGTGTCTAAGGAACTTAACTCATCAACCTCTAGAATGGTCTATTATGCCCTTTTTGAGTCGCATCTTCGTTATGCCCCTCCATTCTGGGGTACTTGCTGCGCGACAAAATTTGATCGTATTTTCAAACTTCAAAAGAGAGCAGTTCGATACTTATTGGGACTAAACAGTAGAACTCACTGCCAGAATTTCTTTAAAAATTTCAAAATACTGACTCTTCCTTCCCTATTCATTTTTGAATCCGTTTGCTTAATCCACAAGCACATATTCTCTATTCCGGAAAGGCCTTCTCACAACTATCCACTTAGGAATGCGGAGCACGATATTTATCTGCCAACCCCGAGCTCAGAACTAGTTAAGGGCTCAATACTGTACAATGCCAAGAAAATGTACAATCATTTGCCTGCGAATATCAAGTCACTTTCATTCTTTCCCGCATTTCGCAAAGCTCTGAAATCATACTTACTGGAAAGAGCCCTATATGCGGTAAACGACTTTTTTGTTGATGTTTAATCATGAACAATTTAGAATTTTAATTTTAATATTTTGATCATCTCACACACTGGTTAAAGGTCTAGTATTTAATATTTTAT